TTCCCCTAAAATTTTCTAATCATTAAGAGCAGCAACATCTGCACCCCACCCACCTACATGGCACGGAATCAAACACCACCTTCACCTTCACACTCTGTCTCCCCGCCACAGCCACCTACACCTCCACAGCTACCACTGACACCTCATGTGCCACTCCCACTGTCATTATTATTGTCTTGATTTTGACATACACATCATACTTCATTACATGTGAGTGTAGGGGTGCAACCAAGCGTGAGCTTTTCTCTATCACTAAGAAAAGAAAAAGTAATTATCAAGCAATTATTGTTTACACAAGTTTGCAGTAGGCCTGATTAACTTACTCATGTTCTACTTTGAAAACACTTACTAATTCCTTAATGTGTACCCCAAAGACGACTCTTGCCTGACTTCAGCAAACTAACTGGGGTTACCCCATCGGGAAAGCAGTGATAATTTAGTTCTCCAGGTTCCATAAAATCAATCTGAATTAGTGAGATTCTGTAATGCAAATACAGAAAATCACACATATGTTCTCTGATTTTAAGGAGAAAAATACTTGCTATTTCCCATTCCCCCCCCCCATCTTTTCTTGCTGAAAGTTGTTCAGGCAGCTGTCAAGCACTGGCCCTTACTAATGTCGAGCTAAGAGCATTAGAGAGCCATTGTTCTACACGGGCCAATGGTTTGCTGGCCTAAGACAGCTGGTCTTCAGATTGGATTTGCTAACACTACTGAAAAAGCATCAGATTAAAGTATTTATGAAGGTGGCTTCCAACAATCACCCTTAGTCTTACACAGTTTTATGCTCAGCAGTTTTTAATGGCATCTGTTGTTATCTGAATATTTAGCAGTCCTGTCAATATGATTTACAGAGGCTTCAAAAAGAATTTTGAATTTAAAATTTATTGTTTAAAAATATGATACTTTGACCTTTCCTCATGAATGAATGCAAAAATATTATTTAAACTTAGGTGTGGATAAAAGCATAATGAGATACCACTATGCACTTACTTCTAAGGCTAAGATGATAAAACCAACTGTGCCAGAGTTAAATGATGAGGATGCAGGACAACTGGAATTCCTGAGCAGTCCCATGAGAACACACAATGGTACAAGTGCTTTGGTAAACAGCTCAACAGTTTCTTAATAAGTTGAATAGGCTTACATACGACCCAGAAATCCTACCTCTAGATATTTACACAAATGAAATGAAATATTATGTCTAAACAAAAAGCCAGTTGATGAACATTTATAGCAGATTTATTTACATTTGCCCCAAACAAGAGACCACCTAAATGGTGACCAGATAAACAAACTATAGTTCTTCCCTACAATGGAATACAACAGAGCATAAAAAAGGAATGCATTTCTTATACACACGGCAAGCAATATAGATGAATCTCAAATTCAAAGTGCTAAGTAAAGGGTGCCAGACTCGACAGGTTGCATACTACAAAATTCCTCTGATGGGACCTTCTGGAAATGGCAAGAACAGAGGCTGGAACACAGATCAGGAGTTGCTAGGAGTAAGGCTGACTAACGGGGGACATGAAGGAATGATGATGGAAGTGACATATTGATTGTGGCAGTGATGGCTATGTGGTTGTATGCATTTGTCACAATTCACAGAACTACACACCTAAAAAGAGTAAATTTTATCATATATATTTTACCTCAATGATCTTAACAATTCAGTGTAAACTTAAGATTTGAAACATTGTAACAAGAATTTAAAATATGTTCTTTTTTTTTCTTTTTTTGGCACCAGGGATTGAACTCAGGGGTACCGACCACTAAGCCACATCCCCAGACCTATTCTGTATTTTATTTAGAGACAGGGTCTCACTGAGTTGCTTAGAGCCTTACTTTTATTGAGGCTGGCTTTGAACTTGCCATCTTTCTGGCTCAGCCTCCCAAGCTGCTGGGATTATATATTATATGTTCATTTTTAACACCTGAAGATACAAATGAAAGTAAAATAATGGCTATCCCCATGGCAGAGATGTGTTAGCTTCACTACTGTCTTATGATTTGGTAAAGACTCCCATGTTACCATGGATACAAGCCATTGTTCCCTTTTGTATGAACCTAGAATATTATTAAATTGTGAGTAACATGTAGTGCAGAGGTAACTCAGAAACATCCAAAGTCACCCAAATGTTTTTCATTTTTAAGAACCCTGCCCATGTTTTCTTGTTGAACATGTGAGCAACTGTGATATAAGTGAACTATCCTTCAGGGATTAAAAGAAGAAAAAGTTAAAAACTTGGTGGCTGGCGCTGGAGTTGTGGCTCAGTGGTACAGTGCTTACCTAGCATGTGTGAGGCACTGGGTTCGAGCCTCAGTACCACATAAAGATAAATAAATAAAAGGTATTGTCCATCTACAAATAAAAATTTTAAAAAAAGACAAAAAAAAAAACCAAAAAACTTGGTGCCTAAACTTGAAGAAAAGTCTAAAAAATGCTAGTTCTTAGGTCACTGAAATTCTTTACTCTGTTTTGTTTGGTACAGAAATAATTTGTGAAATGTAGATGGATTGAGGAACAAAGGATATATGGGAGGTATTATCGTTGGAATCTTCACCTTCCCCTAGAGGCCTATATGTATATGTGGTGCTGTTGGGAGGAGGTGGAACCTTTAAGAGGTGGGGCCTAGTTGGAGGAAGTTAGGTCATTGGGAATGTACCCTGGAAGAGGATATTGGGCACCCATCCCCTTTCTCTTTCTTTTTCTCTTTGCTTCCTGGTTGCCATGAAGCCAGCAGCTCAGGAACTCCCACCATGATGTTCTGCCTAAAACAGGCCCCAAGGCAACAGGATCAGCTGACCATGCACTGAAACCTTTGAAACTGAGCCAAAATAATTATTTCCTCCTTATAAGATGATTTATCTCAGGTAGTATTTATAGCCAAAGAAAGCTAACACAGGAGGCTAGTTCCTCCTCTCCTTGCTGGTGGGGAAGACCATGGTTTCCTAAGTGGCTAGAGGGTAGATTAAGAGTAGGTTTTAAAATCAGGAAAAATCCTTAGTCCTGGGATCCAAGTGAACAAGTTGTGGTCCTTCACTCACATGTGAAAGGATATGGTAGAAAAAGGACTCTTAAAAAGCACCTATCTGAGAGCTGTATTAGAGATGTGCTGCCACACGTGTGGTGGTGCATCCACCTAACAGCCAGTAAAAACTCAGGCTGCTGCAGATGCCTGGCTTGAGGCTTAAGAGCTTCCTAGTGCTAAGGAAGCATCACACACAGCCCGGTGTCAGATCTTACTTACTCACCTTCTCTGCCTTGCCTTCTCTGACTTCTTTTAGATTTAAATCTTAAAGGTTTTACCTGCTCTTAATCTTTTCAGGAGGAAAAGAGTGCCCGTTGCCTAAAGTGTGACAGTAGTTTGCAGGCTATGTCAGGCGTCATGTTCTTTGGGGAAATCTACAGATTCTCACCCTGGCAACTTCCTCTCCCCCACACCCCACGTTGGGGCATATGGACAACCCTGGAGCCTCACACAGCAGCTGTTACATCGATTTCCAAGTACAGGGACCTGAGCAACGACTGTAATGACATTTTCCTGGCTGGCTCTGACCTCTGAATCTCACTGATTAGTCTAACACACGCTGTGAACATCAACCAGTTAGAACTCAAAGCCAAGTCTCAAAAAATTGCTTTAAAATGGCAAGAGATGTTTAAGACATAATTTCTGTGACCTGGCCATTAACGTGCTCACTTCCCAATCCGTGATTCTTTTTTATATCTTTCCCTCTCAATTATTTTTCCCTGTGTGGCTCAGGTTTCTGTGGTAGTTATCCCTAATCACCAAAACACTTTGGTTGGCAATTTGTGCTCCTGGGCTTAGAGAGTAGTCAATATGGAAGGGAGAAATTGGAAAAAAAAAAAAAAAGATCCTTCTCATTAAATATTTTAATATTTCTTTTGTTTAAATAAAAAACAACCACTTTTTTCCAGAAAATATTGGTTGGATTTGAATATTCAGAGGGGTCATTAAAAATACCTATGTGTAAATGATGATAATTTATGCTTTATTATTCTAAGATGACTCAAAGGCCCAAATACCTAAAGAACATCAATTAATTTTTTCAGATACAAATCCAGATATGAATCTGATTTCCTCTCTCCTCTACTTCTTATTTCCCACAACACATGCTCCTTTTTCATACTCCAAAGCCCACTGTCTTCCCCTCTTTTGTCACAACTTCCGTAAATACCATAGCCTTAGATTTAATATGCCAGGCTCAAGTCTGGCACTCTGTTCTAAAGTCACCCAGCCCCACCTCCAGGGCTTTCTCCAATCCATCAACAAACATGTCTTACATCTGACCAGACCCTACGTATGATCCTGAAGCAGAAACAACAGAGTTTATATTTATACTGATCTTATAAACAAAACAAACTGCTTTCATAAACATTAGTGGTGATGCTTTGAACGTGAAGGTCTGTGATTACAGACCACTTGCTTTATAACAGGCCAGGATTTGCTGACCATTTTTCAGGAGGCGAAGCTTCACATACAACCTTTTGCCCTCCTAAATTCTTTCCCTTTATTTCCTACCTCTGGGGCAAATTTTTTCAACATATTTTTTTGTTTGTATGGTTTTGTTTTTTTTTGGATACCAGGGATTGAACTCAGGGGCACTCAACTGCTGAGACACATCTCTTGCCCTATTTGGTATTTTGTTTAGAGACAGAGTCTCACTGAGTTGCTTAATGCCTTGCTTTTGCTGAGGCTGGCTTTGAACTCACAATCCTCCTGCCTCAGTCTCCTGAGCCCCTTGGATTACAGGCGTGCGCCACCATGCCTGGTTCAATCATATTTCTTAAGCTTGACTTTTCTCCAGATTCTACTCGTCCACAAAATGTCACTGGCACTTTTCTTTCCTATGAACTTAGCTTTATGGTAGTTGTTTCTTCTTTATCCTTTCTGACAAATGGCTGCCATTTTGCTCCCATTAAATAAAAATATCCTTTCCTCATTAAAAATAAATAAAGTGCCTGGGCCTGGTACCTGTTGCATGCCTTGCATGGTTTGCTGCAGGAACTGCAGCTGCTGGTCCTTGGTGAGGTTTTCTTCTGTTCGAAAAAGCTGCTCTTTTTCTTGTTTCAGCAGCTCCACCTCATTCCTATAGGCGTCCAGCTGCCAACGGAGACTGTCATTCTCCTCTTTAAGAGCATAGGCCTGAGCAGCCAGGGCTGAAGGACAAACAGAAAGAGTTCAAGTGAGTTTTATTCTTGCTTAGATTGAAGTCTTTAGTGGGAAAGGGAGTCTCTCACCTAAACTCATAATATTCACACTGTATCAGCTCAGATTTAAGACCCAAATGCCTTGCCTTGGGGCTTTTTATTTTGCAGCTGGTGAGCATCACTTCTGTTGGAAGTTTTTGTGATTTTGTTTTTGTATTGTTTTTGCTTTTGCAGCACTGGTAAAGGAACCCAGGACTTTGCACATGCTAGGCAAGCACTCTACTACTGAGTTCCACCCTCAGCCCCTTTATGGACTTTTTATCTCTTCTATTTGCCTTGTCTTATGTATGAATGCTTCTTGTAGGCACAGATCAATTCCTTCCAATTCTTGTCTCTTGACCTCTTCCCCAACCCCAGACACCCACATACAAACTGGCCTGTATTGCTCAGTGATGAGGATTTTCAGAATTTCAGGCAACAATCACATCTACCACATTGTTGTCAGCTCTCATTTTGCAGGATTGCTCTGCTACTTGAAGTGCTGCTTTCTTTCAAATAGTCAGCTGTTCCCTTCCACAGGTTGAGGCATGCAGCAGCCTCCCAGGGGAGAGAGGAATTTATATGCACACCACTCCTTCCTGCTCTATTGCTGGGACAAATTGCACAAATTGTTTTCTCTAACTCCTATCAGAATGGTAACCTAGTTCCATCTGTTTCACCAACAGATTAAAACTCTTTTCCCTGCAAAGCTGAGTGCTTTCTCTCCTCCTCCTCCTCCTCCTCCTCCTCCTCCCTGAAACCTGAAATTCCCAATGTGTAGATTCTGACTTCATTCACATCTCCATCTCACTGAGAAACCAAGACAGTTCACTCAGGGTCTTACACATCTCAAGGCTTCAGAAACAGTTGAAGCCAAATTAAAGGGAAGACAGGGTGGTACAAAACAAAGATAGAGGAGGGGAATCCAGCTCCATAGTTTCTACCCTCTTGCCTCATGGTCTCTCTAATAATATAAGGGCCTGTTGAACACTGAAAGAGCACCAGATCCTGGACCAAGAGCTTCATCTGAACTGACACACTTAACCCTGACTCCCCACTCAAGCCTAGGACGAAGGTGTTCTGATCCCCATTCTTTTTTTTTTTTTTTGATCATATTTTATTTTTTTTTAAATTTTTTATTGTTGGCTGTTCAAAACATTACATAGTTCTTGATATATCATATTTCACAATTTGATTCAAGTGGGTTATGAGCTCCCATTTTTACCCCATATACAGATTGCAGAATCACATCAGTTACACATCCATTGATTTACATATTGCCATACTAGTGTCTGTTGTATTCTGGTGCCTTTCCTATCCTCTACTATCCCCCCTCCCCTCCCCTCCCCTCCCCTCTTCTCTCTCTGCCCCCTCTACTGACATTCGTTTGTCCCCCTTGTATTATTTTTCCCCTTCCCCTCACTTCCTCTTGTATGTACTTTTGTATAACTCTGAGGGTCTCCTTCCATTTCCATGCATTTTCCCTTCTCTCTCCCTTTCCCTCCCACCTCTCATCCCTGTTTAATGTTAATCTTCTTCTCATGCTCTTCGACCCTACTCTGTTCTTAGTTACTCTCCTTATATCAAAGAAGACATTTGGCATTTGTTTTTTAGGGATTGGCTAGCTTCACTTAGCATAATCTGCTCTAATGCCATCCATTTCCCTGTAAATTCTATGATTTTGTCATTTTTTTAATGCAGAGTAATACTCCATTGTGTATAAATGCCACATTTTTTTTATCCATTCATCCATTGAAGGGCATCTAGGTTGGTTCCATAGTCTAGCTATTGTGGTGATCCCCATTCTTACAGATGAAAGAAATGAGGCCAAGAGAAGGCAGATACTTATTTGATCACACAAAGTAAGCAGCTGGCACAGTCTCCAAACACAGACGGCCAGCACAGGAGTCCTTGATGTCCACCTTGTCAGTTTCTGTAGGTTTAGTTTACCAATTGCTCAAAACCAGTCTCCTGTTCTCCCCTCTACTCTCCCACAGGTGTCCCATCATTCCTCCCTCCTCACGGAATTCTTCTTTTGTCAGCAAGAGAAAAGTAGATGGAAATCCGAGAAGCTAGTTATGAGAAACTTCCTGGTAGATGTAACTTCTGGTATGTAATAGCGAGCCACTGAGCAACAGGCTCTCAATACATGCTCATTTCAAACCCCGCCCCAATTTCCTGCATTCAAAGGCCACAGGAGGTCAGCCTCCCAGATGCTCCACCTGCACACTGCAGTAAAATGATCATTGGGCTTTACTGAGGTGCTCTGAGACCTCAGTGAATTCTCTCCACAAATATCAAACATCAAATTATGTTAATGATAGTTTTACAGTTAAGTGTTTTATGGTATTCCACTCTGTAAAATGATTATCTATGCAGAGTACACACTGAAATACTAATCAAACAGAACGTGCAATTAACCAGGAAAGTCCCCACCTCGAGCCATTAGGCATCAATTAGTCAGCAAACATTCACTGTATACTTCCCTGTGCCCACATCTGTCTGAGAATATGGGATCACAAGATGTGGGGACAGAACATGTCTCTTCTATCAAATAACTTAAAATCAAATAGGAACTGACACATTTAAAAGGCAACTGACACATTCACAGGAAGAGCAGCATGACCACTGGCATAGAGTGGGATGTGACAAAGGAAAACACTCTATAGGAATTTAGGGAAGAGGAAGAAAAATGCAGACTGGAAGAATAGAAGAGGGCTTTGGAAGATGAAAATTCCAGGACTGGGGAAAGATGGCTCAGTTAGGAGCAAGATCATAAGCAAAATCCCTGAGATGAGACTAGAAGGCAGAATATGCAGTGCAGGAAGGAGAGAAGCTTGACCAAAAAGGCAAGTGTCAGTTTGGAAGCTGGGAGAGAATGGTGAGCCACGTGGGGGCTGTCAGGAAGGTCAAGCTCAGTGGGGTGGCCAATTGAGAGCTGAAGGTGCCTGGGAATTGGTGATTTAGGAAGATTCGTTTGGCAATGGTGCGTGGAATGAACTGGAGGCTGAAGAGAATGAATAAAGGAAATTTTATTTGGTGTAGATGGGTGTGCAAAACCAAGGAGCAGCCAATTTTACAGTTTTCAGGGATGTAGAAAATCAGAAATGACCCAGGGCATACCCAGGAGCACAGCTAGTGCTTTTTAACATCCTGCAGGCCAACATCAAAACTCTTCTGCACCCTGATACACCAACTCCTGACAACTCAGTTCACCCATCCACAAGGAAATGGTTATGAGACATCATTTGAAAGAAGGATGTTGTAATAGGGCAAAATCACAGAAAATGCAAATGATAAAAAAAGTGTTGGCACTACACAAGCACATTACTACATTTAGTGGCATTCAAAGACACTTAAGTCATTTCCTTAGGAAGCTCTATTTGGCCCCTTTTCAATTCAGAGTGGCATTTTTATTATCATAACTGATAGCAGGTGTTTGTGAAGAAATCGATTAGTATGCAGGGATGGAAATTACATTTTCCAAATGAATTGCATAGTTTGCAAGATATGCTGAAATCTGTGTAGCAAAATGCAGGCAGCTATAAAGCATGTGCCAGCAACATTATTTAAATAAATTATCTGAACATAAATACATATAGGAAAGTGCACCATCCATTATTTTAGGGACTCTCTTATAGGCCTATGGAATGGTACAGCTGAGAGCTCTTATTCTTGGCTAAGCCAAATGACCACTTTGCCTGCCAAGCAGGATACAATGTTGTTTGCATTCCAGGAATAGGAATGTGATATATTTAAAAGAAAAGGAAGGAAAGATTGCTGTAATGCTTTCCCCACCAAAAAAGAAAAAAAATCAATACCATAGCCAATCCCATCATCGTTTTTATAATCGGAGCACTAACTGATTTATATTCCTGATTAAAGGATTTCAAGCTTGATATTTACAAAAAAAAAAAAATCTGGTCATTCATGTGGCAGCAAAGTGGCTATCTTTCAAAGGGTGAGAAATTGCATATTGACTCCACTTGACTTCAGGTCACCTGTTGTAAATATTATTTAGGATGGGGCTGCCACCCTGGGTCTACCTCTCAGACAAGGCCACTTGGAAGAGACTACATTATATTTTTTTAAGCCAGCTCTTAAGGAAACAAAGTCCCAATTTCAGACCTCATGTGATTTCTCAGTGTGTTAAAAATTCAGAAATTTGAAGGGTAAACTCTTTCATTTCTCTTTCTCTTTAGTTCTGTTACACTCTACTAAATTAAAGTTTTGATGAATGTGTCATCAAATTTCCATGATAATATTTACCTTTAAGAGAATGCACAAAAAATCCACTATTCAAATAAGTATTAGGATTAAAAATAAACCACACTGTGCATCTTTGGGTAAGAATCTCCAAGGAGTGCACTATGTTTTTATAAATGGAATATTTACTTAAGAGTATTTCCATATGGACTACCAATTTTCAATTTTAAAGGGGATACAATAAGGCACCTTAAATATAAACTATACTGAATGTAAGTAAATCTTCCCTCAGTGATTTTAAAAGCACTGTTAAACCTAGTGCCTCTGGTTATTAATGACTGATTTACCAACCATTTATTAAAAAAACATGGCAAGAACTGTAATATACACAAGAAGGGTGAAGCCAATATGGTCATACTTTTATACTTGCTCAATACTTTAGAAAAATTCTGAATATTAGAATTTTCTAATTGAGTCAAGAGTAAAAACAACTGCAAAACTTTTGCTAGACAAAACTGTTGCATTTCAAAAATTTCCTAGTAAAAATCCCAAAGTGTCACTGGTATATGAAAATTTATCCAATGACTAAATTGCACTGCTAAAGAAAAGTTGTAAAAGTATTACATCGCTTCCTGTGGCATCCTTTACTAGATTCTCTGTAAACCATTATTCTTTATATTAATTATGGTCAACGTGACCTCCTCCTCCATCTACTGTATTACTTACGGTGTTTCCATGGGAACAGATAAGGGCATGCTTAACTT